ATAATCTTTGCTAGAGATTACCTCTATTGTCTTATTATCTAATTTAAATTACTTGGAACTGGTTCCAAATCAAATGTAAAATTATTTTGTTGCTCAAAAGAAGCAGGTGTCAAGGTAGCCAAATCATTGGCTGAGTTAAAATATAAATAATAAGATAGTGTATTTGCTACCAGTCTTTAACTATACTTTGATAGATAATACCTATCTCTTATCAAAGACTTCTAAATTAAATTATTTAAATCAATTAAATGAAATTTATAATTATTACAATTATATGTCAGTTTTACATTAGTCATTTGGATATTTAAGTCACGTCTTAATTTATTTTCTTGTGGCAGACCCCATAAGTAAGGCAATGTAAACAAAACAGTTTTGTGAACATTTAAATTATTTAGAATTTCAATATAATCCAATAATTGTTTTTATTCACATTGCCCCTTCTCCCAATAAGAAGTATCAATATACTATTAGAACTATGGCTACTTATTAGAATTTTATTTATAATTTGACTAAATGTTGCTCCAGGCATACAATAATTAGTAATTTGGTGTTCCTTTAGACAGTTATTTAATACTAAACCTAAGTTTTTACCTATGTCATCACTGTACACAACAATATTATTTTTGCTAACATTTAAATTATTCAAATTATTTATTGTTCTGGAACTGACATGGAGTTTATAAGTAGGAGAGGGGTTCTTATTGTCCATATTATTAACACATACTGTCCCTGAAGTAACTGGTAATGAGTGCTGACACTCACACTGATGTTTTACTAATGACTCAAAACGTTCCTCATTATATTTACACAGTGTCACCAGTTCGTCCATGGCCAGTATATGTTCCTTTATTTCATTTTGAACTAATTTATATTTATTTGTCATAACTTGTAGTGCATTATGAAGTGAAGAAATTTCTGGATTAAGATACTCCATGTCATAACTTTTCCTAATGCTATCCACCTCAATTGAATATATTTTGACCTTATTAATTAATTCTTATTTTTCTTTACATAACTTAACATGATTTTTAATACTTATTTTATTTTTTATGTTTTTTTGCAATTTATTAATGTATTTTTTAAATTTATTATTACTGCAAGCGATTCTTCCTGCTGTTCCCGATATGAAGGCATCTTCACCTGTCAAATCCACTGTTGATAATGTTTGTAACAATTTTGAGGATTCTTGAGACATTGTGCATTCTACAAGTTCATGGAACAGACTCTGAGTTTTGGAGGCTTTTAAGTTGTCTAAGTTTTTGTTCAGTTGTAAAATTTGCTCTTGGGCTTCATTCAATTGTAATTGCAATGCAGCAATGAATTTGAGAGCTTCCTCATATTCCTTGCTGCACTGATCAAACTCATTGACCATTCCCTGAAGTTGGTCCCTTTCTTTTAATACATTAAGATAATCTGTGTGTAACATTGCCATGTCACACTTTAATTGTGTATTCTTTTTAATTATTTCAACTATTTCTTTTTCATTGTCATCCCATTCTTTTAGTAATATTTCACACTGCTCCTTGCACACCTTTAGTTCCTGAAGCGCGAGCTGGAGCTGGGTCTCAAGCTGGCGCATCTTGGCATTACAAATATTAATTTTACTATGTCTTTATTAGTTAAAAATGTTAAAACTAGAACTTCTACTTAATACAGAAGTAGCAGTGTAAATAAAGACAAGAAGTTATGGTGTGAGGTTATATTTGTAGATTTTAAATGAAACGCTTAAGAAAACATTTAAATATGTAAAACCGAACTGAAAAATTATGTAATAAAAAGGGATAACAAGAATTACAATATGTAATATTCAAACAATATGTACGTTACCTGTCACTTAAAATCCGAACGTTTAAATATAATATATTTAGGTAAGTAACTTACGTTTTACTTAATACGCAGTATAATTTAAACACAATTAACAATTGCAACACAAAATTGAGGTGGATATTAATGATTTATGTATAATATGTAATTAAACTTAAATTTATTTGGGAGCTAATATTTTACAAACTTATTCCTGGGGTTGCCACTGTACAAAAAGTTCACTGTACAAAATCTTGCTACTTTTAGATTTTACCCCAGGGGTTGTTAATTCTCATTGAAAATGCTATGCTAAAAGTAGCAGCTTTTAATATTATTTCTATAAACATAAATGCTACTTACAATTGTATTTGTTTAAAATTAAACAGTAGGTTGTTTAGGATATCTAATGAAGGGTTAATAATCTAACGCTCACCAGACAGATGTTGTTAGTTGGGACTGGACTTATTTGTTAAGCAGGTGGCCACATGGTGTCATCATCATTAAATAGGAGCATTTTAAATATTTTTTTTTGGTTTCTAGTGTATGTATGTATATACACAAAACAATGCCTCAGTGCTGTTCTTTAATTTTTACACATTTTGTGCTTTTTTTTTAAGATTTCAAATTTTCAGAACATCCATAGTTTGGTTTACCATTTCTAATCTAATTAGTATAAAACATAACTAATATTTCTGAAAGAAACTTTAATCTCTACACATTTCTAACAAATTAACTTCCCCCGCCATGAAATCTATAAAATCTTTCAACTCATTTCTAAGTGGCGCCATCCTGGTGGCAGAAAACGTCTTAGATGCCCTCTTCAAAATGTATGGTATGAGCACAATCACTCCCTTGGCTTGATTCATCTTTATCACATACAACTGCTACAACATTAATAGTCAATACAGCGCATGCCAAGACTCTTAGGAAATCCTACGAACCACAGAATAAATAATAGTACTAAGTAATGATCTTTACAAAAGCGGTCGTTTTAATAGCCTACGGAATTAGGTAGACACCGCGTGCATTCTAAATCGAACCTTATCACCATGCGCTAGTGTAATCAATACTATTGTGTTAACTATGTCACAACACAGGGTTGTTAGCAAAGTTCTACCAATATTATTCATTGTTTACAATTACTTGATTGTTATGTTTTTTACCATCTCTATAGTACCTATTATTAAATTTTAGTATTCAAAAAAGTTGAGTTGAACATAGCTGACCATCGCGCGGTGTGAGTGCTCCATGCCGGATGTGCGGTTCTCACAGCACTCGGTTCGCAAAGCACTACTCTCCCTAGACATTCACAAGTCGAGTGGGCCTGACGGAATCCCTCCCCTTGTGCTGAGGACGTGTGCTCCGGAGATGGCACCGGTTTTAACGCGTCTTTTCCGGTACTCCTACTCCCTAGGCGTAGTCCCGAAATCATGGAAGACAGCTTTTGTCCACCCGATCCCTAAAAAAGGCGACCCCTGAGACCCGTCCAACTACAGGCCTATCGCCATCACCTCCTTGTTCTCCAAAATAATGGAATCCATTGTAAATTGCCAGCTCATGTGGTACCTTGAGGATTACCAGCTGTTTAGTGACCGCCAATACGGTTTTCGTCGGGGTCGATCGGCTGGTGATATTTTGGTCTACCTGACTCATAGATGGGCGGAGACTGTAAAGTCCAAGGGGGAGGCATTGACCGTTAGTTTGGACATTGCGAAGGCCTTTCATCGGGTTTGGCACAAAGCGCTTCTTAAGAATGGGCTTCCCGAGAAATTGTGCAATTTTGTCACCAGCTTTCTTGCAGATAGGATCATCAAGGTCGTTGTAGATGGTGCATGCTCCGACTACAAGCCTATTAACGCTGGTGTTCCACACAGCTGCGTGCTATTACCAACGCTGTTTCTTCGGCATATCAATGATATGTTGCTAACCGGTAACATTCATTGCTATGTGCATGACAGCACTGGTGATGGTCTATACACCGGTTGTGCCAATATTTCTCGGGAAAACGTCGCCGAGTACCAGAACAAACTTGTGTCTGAAGTCGAGTCTTTGCTGAACAAAGTCTCAGATTGGGGGCGACTAAATCTAGTCCAGTTTAATCCTCAGAAGACACAAGTTTGCGCGTTTACCGCTAAAAAGAACCCCTTTTTCGTATCTCCTCAGTTTCAAAGAACTTCCCTTGTTGCCTCAGCCAGGATCGGAATCCTCCGCGTCGACATATCGAGTGACGTGCAGTTTCGTGGTCACTTGGAAGAGAAGGCCAAATTGGCCTCCAAAAAGGCTTGGCGTGCTGAGCAGAGCGGAACAGTATTTCATGCCGGCACAATGCCTGCAACTTTTCAAGGCGCAGGTTCGGCCTTACATGGAATACTGTTTTCATCTCTGGCCTGCGGCTCCCCAGTGCCAGCTCCTTCCACTTGACCGCATCCAGCGCAGAGCGGCTCGAATCGTCGACGACCGAGTCCTTTCCGATCGGCTCTATGCATTGGCGGTGCGATGAGATGTTGCATCCCTTTGCATTCTTTCGCATTTACCACGGGGCGTGCTCTGAGGAATTGTTCGGATTAATCCCAGCCGCCAAATTTCACGAACGCACATCGCGGCAGAACTCCCGATACCATGCACACCATCTGGAAGATTGGCGGTTCACCACTGGGCGATTTAGAAGAAGTTTTATTCCTCGCATAACTTCCTTGTGGAATCGATTACCACCAGCGATTTTTCCGGACCGATACGACTTAGGGACCTTCAAGAAAGGAGCCTACTTCTTTTTAAAAGGCCGGCAACGCATCGCAGATGATTCCCCTGATTCCCCTGGTGTTGCAGTTGTTGATGGGCGGCGGTAGTCACCATCAGGTGAGCCGCATGCTCGTTTGCCCCCTCTCCTATAAAAAAAGATTGATTAAAGATGTATTTGCTGTTTTTTTTTTGTTATCACCTATTCAAAACTAGCCTAAAATGTGGTTTCCAGCTCCTTGATGTACACTTTAAAACATGAATAGAAAAAGGTCTATATTGATTGTAACCATCAATATATATATATATATATATATATATATATATATATATATATTATCTTTTAATACAAAATGTTATATTGCGTTTGTTTACAAAATATAAATAGAAAATAAACAGCTTAATACTATAACAAAAGCGGTGCTCATAATAGTCGATGATAAGACATTTTGTTGTTTCAGTTGGCCCTGCTTGCATCAGTGGCTGGAGACACGGCCGAGTAGAAAAGTGTGCCCGGTTTGCAAAGCGGCCATCAGTCGGGATAAAGTAATACCACTTTATGGAAGAGGGAATACTAAACAGGAGGATCCCAGAAATAAGGTACCCTTTACTTTTTGAAAGCATGTTAAATGTAAGTAGAGCAGGCGCCTTTAAAGTTCTGTACTGTTTATTTAATGTACTTACAGAGCTAAATCTGATATTACATTTGACCCCGCCAATTTTAGCCCTATTTCTGTACTGCCAACACTTAGTAAAATTTTTAAGAAACTCTTTCTTGATAAAATGAAAAAAAAAAAAATTAAATAATTTGCTTCATAAAATTAATACAGTTTGACAACAGGCCGCTCGACAAGTGATGCTGGCCTTCAGCTAATTATTAAACAATTTCAATACATGAGAAAATTCACGGGATGCTTTGAGTATGTAACCTATCCGAAGCCTTCAATTGTGTTCTCCGTCTATACTTAATATATATGTAACTTGCTGACCCGTGCCCACTTTGTTGGGTATCAAACATTTTTACTTGTCAAGAAATTATCTTGTGAAGTTCTTAGTACTGAGTGTTTAGGATTTATTTTCGGAATTGACTGACACATAATTGTTGTTATTTCACATTAAAAAATATTATTAATCACAATCATATATAGCCTGTGTCACTCAGCATTAATGTAGCTTTCTACTGGTGAAAGAATTTTTAAAATCGGTTCAGTGGTTCTAGTGATTACTTCCTACAAACAAACTCACAAACTTACAAACTTTACCGCGGGACACGGCTAGTGCGAGATAAAACAGGAAACTACAACGCTATGTTGGAAGAAGTGATGCTTCAAATTTTTTTATTTTAACAGAAATAAAAAAAAATGCTATAAAAATTAAGAGTTATTCCAGATGGAAGTACAAATGGGCAGGGTTAAATTTTCGGCTTCTTTCTGTTACTTGTCTATATTAATGACTTACATTACCACAGTAGGGGATAGCTTTCAAACTAAAACGACAATTACTTAAATTACGATGCAAGTAATGCTTTAACTAAATCATTACGTTAGTCTAACGTAAACAACTTGCATTTAAATGACTCCAAATGTCAAACTTCTGAAAATACCATTGTAATTTTAAATGGGGAAGACTTGAGTCTTGTTGATACTAACATTTTTGTTGGAATCGCTCTAGACGCGAAGCTTTAATAGGACCACCTTATAAGTAAATCAGTTAGCAAACTTATTTGTGTGTGAGATTCCTAATATCTTTTTGTGAATTAAAGATTAGGAATGTCACAATAGTGTGATGGTGCTGACCCATTCAGCTTGACTGAGAAAGGATATTAGCGTAATCCTGCTGCACCAGGTGGACTGTGCTCTTATTTGTATAAAGATGTATACTTTTTTAAATGGGCAACCTTTAAGCACGTATTTTTATAGGGGCTAGGCAATGAGTTGCAACGATGAGGGCCGCGGGGTCGGATCCTGCACGGGGAACAAGCGTTTGTATTGTCAACAAATAATTGGATCTCTGGATGTTTGTCCTTGTGAAATTTATGTATTGAAACTGCCTTTTTTTTAAATGCATATTCTAATAAGTATAACAATAACAGTAGGTATAATAATACAGTGCAAGATATGAATTATCATCAGGCCTCTGTCACTCTTGCTACCTGCGTGAAATAATTACCTACAATTGCGAGGCGCCCCTGGGCCCTGGGCAGAACGCAGTCGTGGCTAGCGCGTTCTAGGCGATTGAAGGTTAAAGTTTTTTAACTTTGTTTACGTAAATAGTTTTTTGTAAATACTTGTTGAAATACTCATCGAAATTTTATTGTTTAATGTTTAGTTATATTTAACTGTAGAGTAAAATATTTGAAAATGGTTTAATGTCATTTAAGAATAATATTATATATGTAAGTATATTACCTATCTATTTCATTTTTTTTTATAGGATACGGGTGACAAACGAGCACACAGTCCACCTGATGGTAAGTGGTTGCTACGGCCCATGGACATCTACATCTATCCTCGTTTGCGAATCAAAATGCAGATGCGTTGTCACCCGTGAAGACTAAGATGGAATGCCTCATTTCCAGTAAAAAGGGCCTCCGGCCACCTGCACTTACCAAGCGAAACGCAGAGGTAAACCTCTACTTCACGCTGGTTTTCTGTGAGTTCGTGGTACTACCCCGGTTCGAGCCGGCCCATCCGTGCGACAGCAAAAGCTGCCGCGTGGCTCTACCACTGTTAAATTATAATGGCAAACCGTCGTTCATACTATAATTGTTGCGGGGTTGCATGCTTAATGAGCAAACAAAAGGATTTAGATATATCATTTTTTAAGTTACCGAAGGATAATGAAAGGTGAAATTATTTAACTTCTTTGTTAGATAGGTACTTATAGCGAAAAAAGAATTAAGTAATAATTTAACTACAGAAGTAATACCTTAGTACTTTATTACAAAACCTAGTTGAAGTTTACTACACTACCCAAGTACCAACTTACATACCTACATATACTTTTCTTTGTAATTAAAATATTTTAAGTTACAATAACACAAAATACTGAAATTAAAACTTTGTTTAGAAGACTTTTAACTAAGTCATTTACGTGGTAGAGCCATGCTGCAGCTATATTAGTAGTATAGTTGTAGCACAAATGGGTCGGTTCGACCGGGGAAGGACCACGCTCTCACAGAATACCAGCGTAAAATAGTAGCTTAACGCTGCTGTGTTTCGTATGGTGAGTGTAGAGAACCGGAGACCCTTTTTACTGGAAAAGAGGTATCCCGTCTTAGTCCTCACTTGTGACAACGTATCTGCATTTTGGTTTGTAATAGAGGATAGATTTAGATGTCTATGGGCCACAGCAACCACTTACCATCAGGTGGACTGTGTGCTCGTTTGTCACCCTTATACTATAATAAAAAAGTATAATACGATCACATTTCTCTTAGGAATTGTAATTCGGGTTTATTTGTTGTTTACTCTATCTATTTCTTACGAGCCAAGCATCACGTGATTTCCGACGAATGGCCTTGCAAGTATGCGTTGGGCATTACAGAACTCACAGTAGCGAAAATGTCGTCGATTATAGTCAGAATAGGTACTTTACCTAAGTAACTTACCATTTCGCAACGTATTTTTTTAATCTTATTAACAGCCCTTAGTAACCACGGAAAGTCCGTTGTGACGTAGGAATGAGAAAAGATGCAAAGTAATACGGACACTCGCGCGCACCGATTAAGTTTTATTTAGCTTGCGTGCGTGATTTATCTGATTAATAATATAAAATTTATTAAATTAAATACAAATTACAATACTATTAAAGGTACACACTACAGTCAATCAGCAAAATGCCTCGCTCAAACAACCGACCCTTCGACAATTAATCTACTATAATTATACGCCAACGATAATTATCCGCTTACGTGATAACTTATCTACTTAGTCAAAATACCTGACGCGTACTTAGCCCTAACATCACTACGGGCGTGGTTCCTCCTTCTACTCGCCAACAAACAAAAAATATTTATATGTAATTTTTATTACGTACTATTTTTATCTATATTACGGCCGGGGGATTGGAGAACCAATCAACCACGCTCTTGCTACCAACATGTACTCGCACCTAGTTGCCCAGACTAAGGTCTACCATACAGGGGCCCATACAGATGTTAGATTCGACGGACAACTAAGTGTAGGGCTCAAATGCCTATGGATATTTAATATATATGGACTAGGTACCTAATGCGACTTACCTGATGCTGAGGCGAAGACTGTCCCAAGGCTCGGTCAGGCCGTAGGTGTGTAGGTGCATGTGAAGTAGTGTTTCGATGTGTGTATTATGGTTGACCTGACTGAACCGTTGAAGTCGGCAGCAACCCTGACTCTGGCACCGCCCCCCGGTGTGGTATTCTCCAGCGGCGGCACAAATGGACAATTTCTTTCTTCAATTCACTATGTCAATCTATCAACTTTATTGTACATTTAACTAACTTCAAAACGCAACTAAACCCCGTTAATTATAATCAAAACGTAACACGCGGCACGACTGATGAACGGGTGTTAAAGTTCACTTCCGTTCACTCTGCAACAAATTATTTCGAGAACTGAACGCGACCTTTTTAGGCACTTAACGCGACGGTACAATTAAACATTAACTTCCCAACAATTAGTCAACCCGGCGTTTAATGTTCTAGACTACACAATTCCTCGTCGTTGAATAAATTTGCTAACAAAATCGACACGATCAGAGGTAACCACGCGGCTCGAGTAGACTCACAGCAATGCCCCGCCCGGCCGCTGCTTGACGACAAAAAAATGCCCGATCTCCCACGCGCCCGGCGCGTGCGGGGAGGCGCCCGCGAGCCGCATGCCAGCCGGTGCTAGGTACATCGGAGAAGTGCGCCGACGCGCCTCCGTTATAGTAATTTTAAATTTTAGCGTTTGGCGCAAACAGATTTACTTTATTTAAAGACTTATTAGATGATGGTAAACGATTTTTTAGATATTTGCATTTAACATACAAGAAATTTCAAGAATTGCTACTTATACTAAAACTATATCTTTCTATGGAAAGCTCAAGATTTAGCAGGCCAATTGAGCCAGAGAAAAGACTTGTTGTATGACTGAGGTAAGTATTTTTATTGATAATTAAGTAATCAGGTATAATTGGGTTTTTGAATTAAATTTAACATTTTTTTTTGTTTTTTTTTTTCAGTATTTAAATAATTTATCGCTAAGTATACATATTGATAATCGATGCAAAAAATTTCAAATTATGTATAATTAATTACGAATGAATTAAAAAAAATTAAAAAAGTTATAAAAATACGAAAATTATCATGTAAGTCGAAACCACCAGTTATAGTGGAAAGTCCACTAAGTTGGCAACATTAGACAACACTGAGTTGAGTCAGCACGCGCCGCGTTATATGACGTCATCAGCATTCGTTTTTCGATATCGTATACCTACCGCATTTTATAAAAATCGGCGCGTACGGTGTGGGTGTGATGTGCGAGGTTTCATATGATTTCATTCAACGAATTCTAAAATTCGGCGCGGACAAATGTGCGTTCAGCTTTAGTAGACATGCTCGTGACGTAGTTTTCAAT